CAAGGATGGTTCAACATTTGCAAATTTACTAATAACATAAACCTTATTCTCTGACCATAAAATAAAATATACAAAATCAGTGACAAAAAGATAACTTAAATTTCATGTTTACTTTTATTCATTAAAATTTATAAAGGTGAAATCATAGGACGTTTAGAAAATACGTAGAGCTGAATAAAAGTAGGAACTTTGGGGATGTATGTGAGATGTACTTAGAGAAAATTTATTGGCTAAATGTTTATTGCAAAAAGGAAAATAGAAAGCTTACATATCTAACAGGTAAGCATTCTAAAAATTTAAGGAAAAAGATTATAAAATATTAAATACTATAAAGATAAGGAATATCAACATATATAACAAACTATTTTTAAAAACCAAGATTATTTTTGAAATAAACGAAATACACAAACTTCTGAGATTCATCAAGTACTTTTAAAAAGACAAATGATTTTAGAAACTATAAAGGCATAAAATTCCACACAGAACAGAATTTTTAAAAAAGGAATATCATAAATAATTGTACACTTATGCACTTTTATAAAGTGAACAAAACCCTAGGAAAATAAATTAGCAAAAGTGGCTTCGCGGGAATGATTCTAAAACCTTTCAATATGCTCAAGTAAAGCTTTCAAAGCAGGTAATTCACAGTGGAAAACCTAACTCAGAGTCAAGGGCGGCCTTGCATCCAGAAGTGACTCCGTGGGTGTCTCCGCCAGGTTGGGCCTGGAGGGGCACCTCGTGTGGGGACCGCGAGGGGGCGGTGTCTGTACCCCGTCCGCTGTCCCCGTTGTGCCGTGCACTCCTTTCTAGTTTGTCTCTCTAATCACTCACTCTGCTGCTTCGTGGCTACTGCTTGTTTTCAGCATCTTGTTTGATTAATCACGAAATCCATGGAAATCCTTGGTTTCGTAATATGGAAAAGAGGGGCTGGGGATTTAGCTCAGCAGTTCGGTGGCCTGCCTTGCAAGCGCAAACACCTGAGTTCAATCCCCGGTACCAAAACAAACAAACAAACAGACAAAAAAAAAAAACCCAAAAAACAAACAAAAGAAATGTGGAAACGAAACTGAAATGTCTCTTAGGGAAAAGAAAATGGTAGTTTTCTCCGTTCCTTTAACTATGAAGAAAATCTGGGGAAATCAGCCTCGGATAGAGTTGCTGGTGATACAACCTGGGGTGTGGAGCCTACGAGGTGGGCTAGGAGAAGTAGGGAGCACAGCGGGCAGGGGAGAGGACAAGGGCGGACCCACGGTGACGGCTAAAGTGGAGGCTAAAGTGGAGTCGGGTCGTTTCTGTTGCCTACACACACCGCCCCGTGGGAGCGGTGAAGCTGGAGCTGAGTAGACAAAGGGAACTGGACAGAGAACCAAAAGCAGGAGACGGGATGGAGGGAGGAATGCTGTCGAGGGGCGAGAGAACACACCAATGCAGAAACGCAGGAGCCTCCTTATTCCCACTCTGAGAACTAAGGAGAGAAGAAATTTTAGTTTCCTTAATTTCTTAAAAAGAAATAAAATACTTTGACTCCACACGAATTACCAACTCCTTTAATATTAAAAACTTTTTCCTTTGGAGCCTTAATTATAAAATATCTTTCTGTTTCATTAAGTTTTATAAAATTTCCTCTGATTTATCTCTGTCCGTGTGAATATATTAAACATTTAATTATTTTCATGACTTTCCTGGCATTTTTATTATTCTCTTTATCACAGAATGTTTCAGAATAAAAGGCTTCCTTTATTCTTTGTTTAATTTCTTTTTGAGGTGCAGGAAAGTACAAAAGGGATAGTGAAAACCAAATCCCACACCTTTTGTCCTATTTTACCCATTTTCATACTGTTCTCGACGTTTATACTTTCCACTCGAATAGGAAACAAAATAGTGCAGCAGGCCACATCAGCGGTTCATTGAAGCAAAATCATTACTATGGAGGCTGCAGCAATTAGGAACAATTTTATCATGGGACACAACTTGTATATAAAAAGGCCATATTATGAACGATTTGGAAACTGCGTAGAGAATGTGCCTTGTGGTATTCTTGTATGTGAGACTAAGATACCATGTTTGAATACCCATTTACATACAACATGGTCATTTTTCTATGAATTTAAAAAAATCAGAGCCCAGGATTTGCATTAGGACAATGAGAGCTAGTCATGTTTTTCAAACAGTACTGTGCTCTCTATAAAGTGTCATTTCTCCTATCAAATATGAAAAGGAAAATAACTTGAAGACATAGCAGAATATCACTTTCCTAGTCACCCAAGGGTGCTCACCATAAAGCAAACACAAAAAGGTCTGTGTTCAAACTGGTTAAGCGACAGTGACATTGTAATTAAAATTGCCTAAGCAAACTGAGTTCCTGGAGGAATCAGAATTTGTAAGTGCGAAGAATCACCTGCATGACGATGTTCTGCTGTCCAGCACTGGTGCTCTTTTGTCTCAAGGGAGAAAGCAGTGCACATTTTTTTAAGAGTAGGAAAGGTTTACTGAGAGAAAGAAGGCTTCTGTCTCAGAAAGTCAGAAGGGAGACCGGAAAGTGGGTTACCCCATTACAGGTGTTTCATATGCAGTATAGTGTCCTAGTGACATTTTTTGTAATTTTCAAATTATAACATTTCTTCTTTTCCATAAAAAGAATTAAAAGCTTAATATACCTGATGAATATGGGGGGGGCATTGTATATGAGAGTACAAACTAAAACCATGTTGCTATAAATTTAAAATTTGTAACATGAAATTTAAAAATGTAAGACTAAAAAAAATCAGCTTTTGAAAATAACTGTGCAGTACAAAAATGTTGGAGGGGGAGGAGGAAGACAAGACTAAAATGAAAATGCTTTGCTAAGGGATAGAATGGGAAAAGCCCAACAGTACAATAAATGTGAAGGGGAAATTAGAAACAATGCAGAGGGAGAGAGATCACCCAACACATAAGAAGTGAGCAGATTAAGGTGAAAATGCAAACAGTGACTTAGATATTAATAAAGAGTCCAAAAAGATTAGAGAGATATGGTAGAAGGACTCACCAGCAAAATAAAGCCCCCCAAAATACAGTGAAAGGTTCCCCTCCCCAAGTAAAACTATTCTAAGACACAGAAAGGAATAAGTTAAGATATAAGTCAAGAGATTGCTCCTGGAATAAAATAAGACTATAGTCAACATTTTGTGGAAAAGATAAAAATGAAAACATAGCACACATTTCTGGGTAAAATCATCCAGCATGGCAGTGATGTTCTACACTTGTCCATGAGTGAAAACCCCTTCAGTCTTCCTGGTAAGGGAAAGCTTTCCAAGTCCTAGGAGGCCAGAAGGAGAAAAGAAGGGGCAACCTGCCCCCCATCACTCAGCACTTCAAGTGTGAGGCAGGAGAAGTGCCTTTCAATGTGCAAGAGTTCAGAAGCACTGTATTCCAGGACAGCCCCCCCTCCCTCGGAGGCTGTTAGAGGCGACATTCACCCAGTGGAGAGACGATTAGGAGGAACAAGGTAAGGAAGGAAACTGCACACACTGCAAACATAGGAAAAGCAGATCCTGCAGGCAGCTCCGGTCACCACCTCCCCAGCACTCAGCCTCATTCAGAGCCTGAAACCAAGTCGCTCCTTGATTCCCGATCATGGAAATTGGAGTAAAATCCTCCTTGTTTATTATCGTGAGTCACCAAGTTTTAGAGAAACTCATGCAACCACTGGCAACTAAAGCAAGGATTAAAAAATGATTGAATTTGGAAAGATGGCAGAATTGAAAAGAGTTTTGTTTGCCTTCACACTAAGCTACACTCCAAGTCCTTTTATATTTTTATTTTTTATTTTGAGACAGGGCATCACTAGTTTGTTAAATTGCCCAAACTAGCTTTGCACTTGTGCTCTTCCTGCCTTGGCCTCCCAGAATGCTGGCATTACATTAGTCACCACCAGTCTCTGCTAGGAGGCCTTTGAAGGGTGGAGGCTCTTCCTGCCCTCAGGCTGGGAGAAGTCCTCCTTCATTCCTCCTCTTGCGACTGACACTTGTCCTCTACACTTACACAGCACCCAGTTTGGGCTGTGTCCATGCCAGGACACCCTAAAGGCAGTAGGCTGTGGCAGGAGGCAGTGGCCACACTGCAGAGGCCTGCATGGCAGAAGCTTCAGTGGAATTTGGTGCAGACAGATGCAGCCAGGCAGGAAAGCCTCAGCCAGGACACAGCTCAGAGCCAATTCCAGGTGGAGCACACCCGGGGCCCAGCAGTAGATCCCTCCCAGCTGCACAGAAGAAGGGGCAATGTTCTCACATTGGAACTACCGTGGTGGTGGTGTTCCCAGTGAATGAGGGGGGTGCATGGAACCCACAATGAGCTTCCTGCAAATGCCAACTTCTGGCAGCTGCTGTGGCCCCCGGTCTCCCTGCAGTGGTGAAACATCGCAGGGCTGGGAGTGGATGGCAAGGAGGTTGGGAAAAGTGGGACACAGCTGGCCAGGGCCCATCCTTCACGACAGGCTGATCAGAGCCACATGAGCACTGCAGGCTTCGGAGTTCCAGCCCCTGCCCAGGGCTGCAGCTAGCAGATGAATGGGACCTCGGTCTGTTCTCTAATACCATGGCCGTGTGCTGGGAATTAAAGCATTTCCTTATAAAATCCCATTTATAATAATAGATGGCACCCAAATATCTGCACAAGAGAAGCTGTAGAATTGTAATGCAGATCTTCCAACCCTTTTAGCTCCTGCTGACAGGAGACACACGGGACAGACCCTGGTTATCTCGTGCTCTCACCCAATGTGAGCAGCACTGACGATCCTGGTCCATCGGATCTCAGCCGGAGCTCACAAACTCGTGTGTTACGGGACCGAGTTCAAATGTAAGAACCTCAGTGCATTTTCCATGAAGGGCAGCACAGTCTTCCATCCAGATGGTTTCCAATCTCCTCCTTTGTGTCTTAACATCAGCTGTTCCCTGGTTTAAGAAAAAACTGAAAATTTAAAATTTTTAGAATAAATAAAAGCAGAGTTTGGGTGACACTACCTCTGGCTAGGACTCTCTGGATCACGGAGATGTAGTCCCCTGGGCCCTGCTGGGTGGACAGCTCCCATCTGCCCGCAGAGATGTTTAAGGCCTCGAACAGTGGCGCTGCGCTCTGCAGCCCGCAGAGCAGGGTGACCACACTGTCCGGCGAGGCCAGCACCTTCTCCAGAAACTGCTGCTTCCTCAGCGTGAGGCCGTTCAGCACACTGCCAGACAGAATCAACAGCTTACATTTGTAGGAGGTTAAGCTCAGCAACTCCAAGTGCTGCAGGGAAGAGTGCTCCAGGTGGTACAACAGGATCCCCTCCGACTCCACAGCCTGGGAAAATAGCGTCCTCAGGTACATAGCCCAGTCCTCAGTGTCCTCTTCATACATCAGGAGGATGGCCTTCGTGTGTCCTGGGAAAAGATGAAATGATGCACCATATTTCTTAGGGTTGAAATGCTAGCAGCAGGCTAGTATCAAATATCAAAGCATCAAATATGCTCCTTAGGCAATATGCTAATGTGTTCATACCAGAGGTCAATAAAGAGTCACGGTGTCCACGCTGTAACTGTACAGGTCGAAAGCAATGATTACAATGGTGCAAGTCTGCTTTGTGCGTGTGTGGGCCAAGGAAACACAGAGTGTGCATAGCAACAGCGGGAAGGGTCCCCCAGGGACAGGCCGCTCTGCAAAGGTGGGTGGGGCGCTCCCAGGCTGGCTCTGACAGCACCTCCGAATCTTCCCTGCTTCTGGCATGTCTCTCCTTTCCAACCACTGCTTCCAAATGAGAGTTTTATAACATAAGCCTTGCCTGATGAATGAAAGCGCTTTGAGGAGAAATGAATCCACACTAAAGGACTTTAGAGTACTTCCTCCGGGGGAAGATGGGTACTAAAGTCAGATTACAGAATTTCCATTCCCAGAGACTCAGCAAAATCAACATCTATTTAAAAAGAAGAAAGAGATTCAGTAGCAGAAACTAAAGAAACGCGGACTCTTGAATCATAAAGCAAGATGTCGATGCCATGCCTGGAAGGTCCTGGCTTGCACAGAGCTCACCAGCACCCCAGAACCATAGTGACACAGCGTCGGGGTCTCCAGACCCTTGGCTCCGTGCACCTCTCTTCTTGTTCAGCATGGCCAGGGTGCCTGCGGCTGTGGAGAGGCTGAGCATCTTCCACCAGCTGGGCCAAAGCCTGTACCCCAAATCCTGCCTAGGGAGGAGAGGACCCTGGAGAGGACTCTCCACAGGTCCCAACAGCGATGCCCACCAAGGACGGCACCAGAGTGGCCACAGCCGTCTGGTCTTCCTGAGTCCCTCAGACCATAAGGTGGTGGGAGAGCAGATCTGCCTCTTACCTGTAGATGGAGGGCAAATGAAAGCACTAAACACAAGGAGGGAATCAAATGAAGGGGAATCTGCTCATCCATAGTAAGCAACAAAAGTGTAACCTGGGGTAAGAGAAACCCAGCAAGACCAAAGATGGAAACATAAACCACAATCATGGTCTCCATCGCTACCAAAGATCAGCAGGCAAAAGCTACAGAAAATCAGTAAGTGGGGGACAGTTCTTCATGTGGCTAAGACTGCAGAGTAAACAAAACCAAAATTAGAAGACAAGTTGACTTAGTTAAAAGAATAACAAAAAGTATAATAAATCAACGAGGAAGCTGGGTATACTGGAACATCACTAGAATTCTAGCATTCAAGAGGCTGAGGCAGGAGGACAGAGAATTTGAAGCCAGTCTGGGCTGCACAGTGAAATCAAGACCAGCCTGGATTACGTAGCAAGACCCTGTCTCAAACAAACACACAAATAAAGCAAGGAGAAAAATCAAGAGCTCAAACAATATCATTACCTAGATAAATAAATTTTTAAAGCAGTAACTACATTAGACATAGATAATATTTTAATGTGTTCCATAAAACAAGGCTTGATATTTTCACAGGAATGCAAAAAAAGATAAAAGAAAAAGAGAGAAGGTGAAAGTAATTTGCAGAAATTGAAAATGTTTGGATAAGAGTCAAAAAAGGAATGATTCACTATACGTGGTTAATACAAAAACCTGAAGCAGAGAACAAAAGATACAGTAAAATTTTAAATAGTTTTTAATAATTAAACAGTCTTTCAAAGAAGGAAGCTCTAGAAGTCATCTTTATGGGTCAAAGGGGCACAATCACACTCCAAGAAAGACTGCAAAGGAAAGCACATCTTGAGTAAATTGCCTTTCTTTTGTGGTTATTATTATTTCTTTGCATATCCAGGAAGGAATAGCAAGTCACCCACAAGGGGAAAAGCAGTATAGTCTTGATTCAGGGCAATTTCAAGGCCAGGTTACAGTGAACAGAAGAGAGTTCTGTAAGTCACCTTCACAGTGTCCTCATCGTAGAGGGTGTGTGGTGTGGCAGGGACAGTGAAGGGGTCACTGATGCCCAAGCCTCGGACAGATCTAAGGGGTGTCACTCAGAGGTCTGGGGTCGGTCCCTAGCACCTTAAGATATAAAACTGAGTAAGGAGCAAAAGTGTATCCTGCACTCTGTGTTTGCATGATGTCCGACTCAGAGGTAAAGGATCGGGTGGGCACAGCCGGGGTGGGTCCCTCTGGAAGTGCCCTGCATGGTCGTCTGGGAAGGGGGCAAGTGAATCTGTGTGCATCTTCAGGCCTTAGCTTGAGTGTAAAGTCAACTGTAAGAAACTAACAAATGAAAGTCGCAAAAGAACGTTTCCAGAAAGAGGCTGTCCCAGATCTTAGAGAGCTGTGGCTATTTCCAGCAGATGGACTGAGCCTTTTTGGAAGGAGATAGACAGGAAACAAACAAAGCTACTGTGAGTTTACCTGTTTTTTGTCATTTTGTCACTATGTAAGGATTATCTCCACGGACTGAAGCCTCACCTCTCTGTTCACTGATTCCTACTCAGAGTCTACGTACATTCCGTGAATAAATGTTCAGTGAGTGTTAGAATACTTTACATATTCAAAATTGCGAAGACAACATCTGGCAGAAAGCCTGCGGGGATTTGACACAAGTTGGGTGTGAATCCTGTGAAGAGACTCTCCCAGTCTGGATGTTAAACAACTGCTTGTGGAACACACACAAATATGATGGCATAACTCAGTCTTTTTATGCATGGGAAACCAAACCGTAGGGGGAAGAGCATTCTTTAGATTATATAGAGAACCAGAGTAAACTGCTATGTGGCTGTAAAATCAGTGGAGCAAAAACAAACTCATCAGAACTATCAAGTATTTAAAATAAAGTAGGTCTCTATGTGTTTTACAGATGCTACTTGTTTTACCTCTCAAATTATCCACTAAGTAGGTCCTAATGTTATTCTTGTTTTACCAGCACGGGTTGTGGGGTGGGGAGTGACACAGAGTCTGGGGCAGGCAGCCTTCCCACAGCCTAGCAGTTAACCTGCTTTCACCTCTGTCACCAAAGGACACAGTAGCCCCAGTTGTCTAAAGATGCAAATGAATTCCTGGAGGTGGGAAGGGCTGGATCAGTCAACACAAGTAATCTGAAGTGTGGGAGGTGGGCTGGGAGGTGACTTTCCCGTCCAGCAAAACAGAGTGCACTTTCTGATGTCTATGAAGGATTTAGAGAACTTACTTCTTGAGTCTAAAATTTAACTCAATAAAATGACAGAAAAATCTACAAGGCTCCTCTAAAGCATAGAATAAATACTCCTTTGTTACGAGACTGGGTATCATGAGAAAATGACGATAGGAAGTAAATTCTCTTATGCAGATAACCATCCTGGCCTTTCCAAACTCCCGAAGAAAGTGCTTCAGTTAGCCTTCTCCAACACCCTAGGCCCACTTTCACTTGTGTTGAAAATTAAGCCTTTTTAAAAAAACATTTGTATTTGATATATTCATTAACAACCTCTATATGCCAATTTTCAAAAGCCTGAATGTGAGCATGAAGTGTCATTCTTTTCTTCTCTACAACGCATGAAGTATTTAGGTCTTTTGGTCTTTTCTTGTCTTCATTACTATTTTACTGAGATCTTCCAAAACCAGAAAGGCTGGGGGGGGCAGTTCCCATGCACTGAGTCATCACCAACTGTACGCCAGTGGGTCCTTCGTTACTGGCTGATGATCACGCTGAACCTGGTGAGCTTAGGTGCTATTGGGCCCGTGGGACAATCGCAGGTCTTAACCTTGCCTTGTGGAGCTGAGTTGAATCGAGATGCAAAGTTAGTAAAAGACTTTTTTACAGCACACTTGTCTTTCCCTTGTTCTAGAGCTATCTACCTATAAATCCTCACGAGTAGCCTCACAGCTTGCTGTGGGCTCCATTTTTACTGGTATGACCAAAATATATGGTGAATGTTTAAATTAAAAAAAAAATCTTTGGGGGGTACCGGGGATCAAACTCAGGTCCTTGCACTTGTGAGACAGGCAGCGGCACCACCTAGTGAAATCCCCAGACCTACAATTTTTATTGTAGTAGTAAAAGACACATAGCCATGAATCTCGCTCACTTCAAAGCAGTTGTGAAGGCCTCTTCCCTGCATGTCTTTAAGAGGTGTGAGAGTACAATGAATACTGCTGTTTAGGGTCAGAAAGGCAGGGTTTTCCAAACAGTACAGAGCATTCTGGTCTACCTCATTCACCAGATCTGGCATGGTGTAACTTTGGGGTCTTCCTCAAAATTAAAATGGCCATCTCTAAAGGTTTTGAATCAATTCAGGACATGGAGGCAGCCATGATAGTTCAACAAAAGACTCAGGCAAGAGGATTCCAGAGCTGCTCCAGAAAGTGGCAAGGACAGTGGGATAAGAGTTTTCAAAGGAAGGGGAGGCCGACGATGGCGATGAATGGCAATATGTCTCTTACTGTGGAACACTTTTAAAGTTCAACGTCACCATATTTTCCATTACGCCTCATACACTTGCTCTAAATCATCATTTTTCTCCTTTAAGGAGGTTTATTGTCATTAAGATTGGCCAAGATTAGGCTGCAAAATGAAGTAATAAAAATGAACATGAAGCATAGAATACAAAATGTTCATTCCTGGAAAGCTACGTCATAACAAAAGAACATCACTCCTGAAGATGAGATTTAACTCTGCAGATAAATTATTGAACGTGTAAGTCTTCAGTTTAAAGTAAATAACAGCATTATTCAATGGTTTTACAGGAACAGAATAGAGGAACAGGAACACTAATTCTCATAAATTTACTGTGAAAGGTTCTTTCAGATTCAATGGTGTCTTATTTTCTTATTTTTCTTACAAAACCTTCTGATGAATTTTTAAAGTTGAAGGAAACTTGTATCAATAATTGCTCTTACATGGAAATCAAATTACATCACATTTTATCAAACCTTGAGGCTAAATTTGAATTAAAATCCTTCCTGTTGTATATGCACAGCTCCACACAGAGTGGCAGATTCTGTCCTTTTTGAGTAAGATTCAGTCTCATACACAAGTGTTTATTGTGCAGAGAGGGAAAAGATTGTATGATAATACATTATGATTAAAGCAGAGTCTGGGTGGAGAATCAAGACTTGTCATGTAGAAGTACAAGATCCTAACAGTGAAAGTAACTGTACTGTATCCCAAAAATGTACCAATAAACTCAATTAAAGATGAAA